AAAAAAAAAAAAAAATTTAAATTTAAATATAGTTAAATTATATATTAAAGTAAAAATTAAAGAAAACGAATTAAATAATACCATCAGATAATTTTCCATTTTGCTTGATGCTAGCAAAATTTTCATGATCTTCAGTATTATCTGATATTGTACTTGTTTTATAATCATCATTTATACTATTCATATTTTTTTCAGCTTCATTACTTATAGTATTTATTCTATTGTTTTCATTTTTTTTTAAATCTTCATCATTTTCAGATAATGTTTTTGAATTTATATCTTTATCATTTTTATCATTCTTAGATTTTGCATCATTATTATCTTCATTATCAGGTTTTTTATGTAGCGTTGGTTCTGAATTTTCAAAAATATGACCTGTAGCACTTAATTCTTTTATTTTTTCAAAATCAGATGTTGTTGCCGTAAATTCAACAAATTCAGTTTGGGATTCTTGTTCTAACCCAATATTTCTCATATTAGATGTTGTTTTATATTTATTATCAATATCTCCTTTTGTTTCATTAGAAGTTTCATTTAATACTGTAAAATTCTGTTTTATACCTATAACAAGTTTTTTATCAATTTTATTTTCAGATTTTTTTCCAAAATCTTCTTTTATTTCATCAATACTTTTGCTCCATGATAATATTGCACAAAGTGGAATAAATTTTCCTGACAAATTAAAACATGCGGCATAACATACAATAGAATTATTAAAATGTACATGTGATAATAATGGATCCAATTTTTTATATGCAAATTTAATATCTTTAATATTTTTACAAAAATTTTTCTGATCATTTTCATTCTCTTCAGGGAAATATCGTTGAATATTTGAATAGAAAGTAGTATGATTCAATTGATTTTGCAATTTAGCTTGACAAACTTTATACAATGTATCATAAAATATTAAACATAAAAAATTTCGTACGTTCTTATATGTCATATCATATTGCGCAATTACATGTTCTCCTTCAGGATATGTTACATTATAACAATCCGCTGTAATATTATTTTCATATAAAATTGTCGGCATTTTACATAATTCACTGTCATTTTTTATTACATCTATAATACTTTGTGTTGTTGATACGCTTAATACATTTGACACTTTTATAAAATAAAGAAAAAAAGCAAAAATGCCAAAACTAAAAGCTGAACGAGTTATGTAGTTTTCCATTATTCTTTTATCTTTTAAATTAATGTTTTATATAACTCTTAATTTTTCAACTAATTGTTTTAACATGTGTTATGAATACTGTGTATTATTTTGAAGTTTTAATGAACATAACCTTCCAGAATCTAATTTATTTAATACAGACCCAACTATAGAATTTTATATACACGCCATCTTTCTTCTGATTGATCATACATAACCTAAAAAATCATCTTAATCTTTATATTTATTCAAATGTTTTTATTTTATATACTATATAAAAATCTTATAAACAATAATGTAATAATAAACATTGTCTTTTTTACCATTATTATTATTTTATATAAGATATATTAGAAATACATAAGCACAGACAAGATACAGAATAGATCCGTTACTTTATATGATTTTGTATTTTCTCTTCTATATTACCGAAAAAGTGATTTTGATATATTATTTACAATTTATATATATAAACTATGATAATAAATTTAGAAATTACATATTCAAAACATTAAAATTGCAATGAATATGCAATTAAAAAATTTTATTAAATATAAATAAAATCGATATAAATTTAAATATATAGATATGATAGTCGAAATATAAATAAAAAAAATTAAAAAATAATTTTATTTATATCGTTTACAATTCATTATATAGATTTTTCCATTATTTTTATCTTATATTGAATCCCTTATAAATTGTGCACAATAGTAAAATATCACCAACGACCATACCACGTAGGGCATACTGGTTCTCGTCCGATCACCAAAGTCAAGCTACGTTGGGCACGGTTAGTACTTGGATGGGTGACCGCTTGGGAACACCGTGTGTTGTTGGTATTTTTTTATTTTTATTTTATATCCTCATATGAATAATTTTTTTTCGATTAATATTTTTTCCTTGTTTATTTATTTATTTATTATTTCCTTAATTTTACGGTTGTAAGCTATATTTTAATTTATAGCAATTTGAATCTCTTTACTATCCATATATAAAATTTATATATGAACAAAAAAATAATATTCTAACACAGTTTAAGATAGAAAATAAATTAAAATCTAGTTCATTAGAGAATAGATATATATTTAAATTTTAATTATAATGCATGTAGTATTCCAAAAAAAAATGATATTACAAAAATTATTCCTTGTCCATTATTTTATTCAAAGGATAAAATTAAAATTCTATAAGTTATTACAATTTTTTAATAAGTTAAATATCCTGATCTAGTACTATAACATCTGGTTTAATATTTGTGCTGGAACCACGAAAAAATTTTAATTTCGCCTTTGAGATAAAGTATCGAGATTTAATTTTATCAAACTAATAAAAAATTATTATAGATGAAAATCATTTACGTCAATTTATTTTTATTAAAACTAATTTTATTTGAAAAATATTATTATAAAATTTTAATCATTAGTTTTCTTCAATGCGCCATATATATATTCTATTGTATTTTTTTTCAATTATAAAAATGAATTATAAGTCGGTTATTGTTCAGCATAGATCTAAATATAATAATAATACAAATACTAATTACAACTAAATTACAATTATAGTATCAGTTTAGCAAATCCAACACATATAGATTCCTCGGTAGTATAGTGGTCAGTATCCCCGCCTGTCACGCGGGAGACCGGGGTTCGATTCCCCGCCGGGGAGAATTTTTAAATTTTTGCAATCTTTCTTTTTTTTATATCATTATTATATATTTATATCCTATAATTACGTCTTATTTATAAATATTATTTATTGACATAATAAATGCATTATACTGCAAAGCTATAAAAAAGACTAGTAAAAGAAATGAAATTCTTAGTCATTTAGTTAGTTCCTTGCAAACAATATATTCATAAAACTAACTAATTGGCTAAAAAAGTCACATTACAAATATATGAATGTGTAAAGGAAAGTCTCTCTTTAATCTTCTTTCTCTTCTTCTTAATAATACCGTTTTTCGTTCAGTTATATGCGCATTCTCGTACTGTGAAGTTTGTTAAATTTACTTAATATTCAAATTTAAATTATTAGTTTTGTAGTAAACAATTAGTTTTATAGTTATTTCGTAATAACAAATATAAAAATTAATTATTCATGATAAAAACAAAAAAAAAATGAAAAATGACTAAATATATAAATCATTTTATATATAGATAATAACCTCAAAAAAAAAATATCCGACATATAGTTATGAAATGAAAAATAGTGACGTAAAATCTTTTAGTGTTCTAATTATTAATATTAATTAAAAGAAAGAAATAAAAGGAAGAATTTCTTAAAAAATTAATAATATAAAGTGGAAAATTTATACATTTTATTTATATATGCATATGTCATTTGTTACTTAAAAACTTTTGAATGATAAATTCTTTAACAAAATGTGCATCATCTCATTACCTGACTCAATCAAAATGAATAATATGAATGAATATTTTCAATTCATTACATCTTTTCTTCCTGAATTATGCGTTAATTAACTTTATTATCCAGTTTTTTCTAGAATTTAGATTTTGATTTTGTTTCTCATTTTCTGTTATCGATTCTTTATCGATTTCTTTACTATTTTATTACTATTCAATAAAAATTATTTTTTTCAAAAACAATCTTTTATTAATTTGTTTCCTTTATTCTTTCGTAAAATTTTATTTTAATTATACATGAGATTTAAAGAATTATACATATAATAATAATATAACAATTTTGATATAAAATTGCATCGTTTTATTCAATATTAGATAATACTTATAAGTTACTTTCAAATTCTTTTTTGAAAATAAATATTTTCATGTTATTAATAATAATCAATGTAATAACCTCTTAAATTCTTATTACATAATTTCAATATATTTGATATTCATTGTAACATTCTAGCAATGCAAAATAATTTTTCTTTAACCAATTTTTTTGTTTTTATTTTTAAATATTCTGAATTTTGGCACTAATTTAGCTATCTTATAAAAAATGAAAATTATCAAGAATAACAATAAATATAAATTTAAAACAATAAATATAAATATAAATTTCTACTTATATAAAAAAAGTTCTCATCTATGTACTTAGACTCGAGATTTAACTATGTATTTAAGACTTTCTCTTATGATTCAAGAGAATCATGATTTTTCTGAAATTGAAATTTAGAATTTCAAATCAGAAAGTCAATTAGGTTTGAAATTCAAAAACTCAAGATTTTTTCATTAAAAATTCAAGATAGAACAATATATTATTATTTATATTAAAAATTGTGAGAAAATCATTTTATGTTTTTTAAAAAACTGAATATGTAGAATATATATAGAACATTAAGTATTATGAAAAGCTGAGATATAAAATTACATATAATATATATAATATAAAATTACATATAATATAAAATATATCAAATATATAAAAGATATCAATAATTAGGCTATATAAATAGGAAGTATAATTAATTATACAAATGAAGTACATAATAACTATGAAATTTAATAAAAAACACAAGACAAGATAATTTAAAATTGCATTAACTGAGTTGAAATTAGCATAAAATTTTATATTGTATAAATTAAAAAAATTTTAATCATTCAATCTTTCACATAATGGATGTTTACAGGATATTGGAAATAAAAAAAATATTGTTTGAAAAAAAAAATATGACACAAAAGATGCAGAAATATAAAAAAAAAAGCAGGATTATATAGATTTCTTTACATGTTAAATCGGATATCTTATGTCAATATATATTATTAGTAAATGAAATATTATTTTAACAGTTTATAAATAAATAATATAATAATATTATTAAATGAAATATAACAACTATTACAAAATAAAATATTTGCAGATACAAATATTTATACATAGCAGAAATTTAAAAAATGAATAACACAATAAATATAATTTTTATTAAATTTATATTAGATAATAAAAAAGTAGTAGAATAATAAAAATATAATATAGAATTTGATTATCAAAACGAATTTGTATAACATGATTAATATTTAGTGATTTATATTTGGAAACATCATGTGTTAATAATATTTTTTGCATATGTTTTTATTTAAAACATTTATTTGTTTTATGTAGATGATATTTCAACATATTTAATATATTATTAATATATTTTTATTTTATTATTTTTATATATCTCTTTTAAATCTTATATATTAATATTGAAAACTTAACTTATTAACCAATTGTACTTTCATGTAAGAATCATTAAGTCCCATTTAAACATAAAAAATAAAATATATTATTATTGTTAACTGATATTAAAAATAATTATATGTTATTTAATAATTTGAAATATGACAATTTAAATAATAGAATTTTT